AAAAAATAAGATATAATACAGCCCAGCCAGTATGGCTCAATGGTTGAGCTGTGGCTCAGTGGTTAAGCATCAACCTATGAACCAGGAGGTCAGGGCACATGCCTGGGTTTTTCCCCATTGCTTTTCAGAGGCACATGCCCAGTAGGGGGCGTGCAGGAGGCAGCTGATCAATGACTCTCTCATTGAAGTTTCTCTCTCCCTCTTCCTTCCTCTCTCAGAAATCAATAAAAATATAATACAATAGTAAAATATATTTTATCAACTTTATTCATTCAAAAGCATGGTTATAGTAATACTTCACAAAATGCTACTTATTTTAATTCAGATTTATACCAATGAAGATGGCTATTAGCTTTAATTTAGCAATTTCATGAAGAAAAAATTCACCTGCAGAACTATGTAGACTCGTACTATTTTTACAGAGCAAAAATTTCAAGATAGTTCTGAGATCCACACATTTCCAAAATTTGAGGCAGTGTCTAGCATAATTTGCTTCTATCTCAATCTGCTTCTTTTGAAAATAAGCCTCAATTCCAGCTGGATAATTCACATTCTGAGATTTGTTCTTTAAAAACTGCCACAAAAACTTAAAGCATAATGCATACTCATCAAAAGCTGTGCTCTCTCCTGAAGGTATAAAATGGATAGAGTTGATTAAGTTATGCTTTGTGTACCTTTCGCACTCACTTTTAAATCCGTCTTTGTGACCAGGCACTTCACTATAAAATATGTGGATCCATTGAGCTCTGGGCAGCTCAACACTGGAAGCTGAATACAGTGTGAATCTGAATACCTGCCCTCCCACCAACAAGTTTCTTGTGAAATTTCAAGCTCAGTGTGTTTGGCTGTCTTGTCATATTGGTAAACAAACTGCTCCTCTGTGAACCACTGAGAGATGCATTCCTTAGATCAGAGGAAACAGCTTGATAAATCTGAGTTTTCATGACCTAGAGTTGAGCATATCATTACATTCAAATTAACCAAATATCCGCACTCTGCCACTCTTTCTAAATACAGTATCCCATATTCTGTGACTACTATGGACAGGATTATGGAGAATATTAACAATTCCATGCTGCCTCCCAAAAGCACGTGCCCCAACCCCCCTGTGAAGCAGATAAGCCAGAATGGCAAGACTGAGAGTGACCTGAATGATTGATTATCTAGGCAGAAGTTAAGGTACAGAAAGAAATGGTCTGCTTGAGGTCACCTAGTGTACCTGGGGCACACTCAGGTTTCCCATCCCTGGTCCAGTGCTGACATCCTGCAGCAGCTTGCCTGTTTTGAGTCCTGGATGAGGTCCCAAAGAACAGGAACCAGGGATATAGAGTTTGCTAGTATCTATAACTCCCTGAAACTAGCCCACATTTAGGAATGAAAATTTTTTTATTATGATGAAACCTTTGTAAGATTTCCCCTCCTGATTGCAAACTGGTGCAGCTACTATGGAAAACAGTATGGAGACTCCTCAAAAAATGTAAAATAGAACCACCTTATGACTCAGCAATTCTACTTCTGGGTATTTATCTGAAGAAATTCAAAACACTAACTTAAAAAGAAATATGCACCCTATGTACATTGCAGCATTATTTACAATAGCCAAGATATGGGAACAACCCAAGTGTCCCCCAATAGACGAGTGGGTAAGGAAGATGTGATACATGCACACAATGGAATATTACGTGGCAGTAAAAAAGAACAAAGCCTTACCATCTGCAACAACATCATGAACCTAGAAGGTAATTATACTAAGTGAATTAAGCCAGAAAGAGAAAGACAAATATCATATGACTTCACTTATTTGTGGAATCTAAAGAACAAACTAAACTAACACACAAAAGAGAAACAAATTTATAGATACAGGGAACAAACTGATGGTTGCCAGAAGGGAGGGGGTTAGGGGGCTAAATGAAAAAGGTGAAGGAATTAAGAAGTACAAATTGGTAGCTTAGGGGATGCAGTCAATAATACTGTAACTATGTATGGTGCCAGGTGGATACTAGAACTATCATCACTTCATAAATCATATAAATATCTAACTACTATGCTGTATACCTGAAACTGTAATTAAAAAATTTTAAAAAGACTTCCCTGTCCCAATCTATCTCTTCTGAGGCACCAGTTACCGTCTTCGTCACTGACTATATGCCAGGAGAATGCTAAGCACTTTACTTACTTACTTCTCATCTACAGCCAAATGAGAGCTACTGTCACATTCCCCATTCTACAGATGAAAAAACTGAGGCACTCTGAGGTTACATAACTTGCCCAAGGTCACAAAGGTAATTAATGGAGCCGGGAGTCAAGTCCAGGCAGTCTAGATCCAGAGCCCACGCTCCGGACTCTGTTACATCCTGGAAGGAGCAACTTGTTCAAGAAAGGGAAATGAGGGTGCCTATACTAGCAAAATGATTTTTTTGTCAATTTGCCTGCCTTTTTGCTACAACTTCACCCTTCAGAGACTCTGTTCCCCCACTCTCTTTCTACATGTCACTTCTGCGCTGCAGGGACTTCTGAGCAGACCCAATATGTGTGTCACCTCACAGCCTGGGCCATCTCTGATCCTCCCACTCCACCAACACCACAGCCTCACTGCCCCTTCGACTTCCAAAGGATAACCAGTCGTCCAGTTTATAAACTCCAATTTGACTTTAATAAATTAAATTCCAAGCCATCACACAGCAGTGGCATCATCATCTCCCAACATACCGAGCTGCGGCACTGCTCATGCTCCGTCATCACACAGTCTTTAAATAAAGACCCTAAGTCCATCTGTTCAGGGAAGGATTCTCACCTGGCCCCTGAATCCCTCCTTCCAACAGAGCCACTGCTCGTGGAGAAGGCCTCAAGTACAAAAACGTAATAAAGGGGAAAGGTGGGAGGAGTAGAAGAGGAGGCAGGGGGGTGGGGAGTACCTGCCCCCTATCCTGGCGCTGGCCCAACTTTCTATGAGCTGCCAATGTCCTCAGAGGGAGACACTGGTGCTGGTCAGAGAAGGGACCTAAGGGAGGTGTGGGAGCCCCATCCCAAAGGGAATTGCCTACCCTCCGGAGATAGGAAAGAAGGGTCATCTGGGAGAGACGCCCTCTACATCTGTTCACTGAGGGCCCTGGACCACACATATAAATAGAAAAGAGAATAAATAAGGGAGGATCAGCTGAGGAGCTGAGCACCCTGGGACTCCTCTGAGGGGTCAGTGTCCACAGCAGGCAAACAGTTCTGAGGAGTGCCCACACGCCAGGACAGAGCCCTCCTCTGACTCCTAGCCACCCGCTCCTTTAGGTCCTCAGCAACAGGTGCTCATCTCATGTGCTTCCCCCTACAAGACCCTTCCCACTGGCCCCATGGTCCAGGACAGACAGGGCTTCCTGGAACCCAGAGGACTTTCCTGGCCCAGGCTGCTGGGTATCCAGGAAGGGGAACCAAAAGGGATGTGGGGAATGGGCTGAGAGGACTCCTGCCCTCTCCTAGCTCAGGAGGTGAGGAGGCCCTCAGAGCTGGGGGCTGGGGTTGCCATTGGCCTTGGGTTTGGATTTGAAGGAAAAGCGCTTAATAAGGCGGCGAGAAAAGCTGCCAGCTTTCTTTCGGACACTGGGTGTGGTCATCGTGTTGGAGAGGTCATCGTGTGACTGGCTCAGACCAGCTTCCTTCTGTCGAGGTCTCCGGCGAAAGATGAGCTTGGTGCCACTGCGCAGGAAACTCACTGCGGGGGAAGAGGGGAGGCTGAGGCAGAGAGAGAGGCACCAAGGGGATGTGGGGGGTTGCTGAGCAGAGAAAAGACCAAGCATGGAGGGGTCAACAATGCGGAACAGAACCAGGCCTCTGGCCTAGAAGCCAGGCTTCCTTAGGAAAATAGAGACGAAACATGTCCTTTCTCCTTCCTAAGGGAAAGGGGGTGCTCGTGGGATTCTGTGCACACTCCTAACTACTGTTCTGAAGAGGAATGCCAGCAGGCCGCTCTGTGAGTAGACTGAGAACTGGGCCTCTTTACTGTGGAAAGACAAAGGCTGAGCAGAGGGTGTTTCTAAAGAGTGTCCTCAGAGACAGACATGAAGCAACAAGGTTGGCTGACACTGACTTGTTGACAACTCCAGGATGTGAGCAGGAAGGGGCTCATCTGGAACACTTCAGAGGTCACTTCAGGCCCATATAATGAGGAAGGCACCTCCACAGCAGGCTTTGGAGTTAGGAATTTCATTATCCCAAGAAGTGATGCAGGCTTAAATCATTAATAGTTAAGTACATTTGTGGTTGATAGACTCACTGATGGAGGAACGAAGATGTTTGGGGGAAGTGAGAAGTACCACAGCCGTCCACAAACTGTGTCACTGCTAGGACAGTCCTAGGGTTAGCCTGAGGGAGGGTTTCTCATACTCGGGGGGAAAGAGTACATGACAAAAGGGAAGAAAAGAAAACAGAGGAAGGGAGATACACACTTAGACACAGGGAAAAAGAAACATAGTGGTAAATGATGCCACAGGCCCCAAGCCCCAGAGCATCACACTCCTCTCTCTACTTTAGCTTTAGCTTGGCTGGGACAGGCTGGGACCTCTGGTAATCCCTAGGGAAAGGAAGGACAAAGCAAACTGGCTTGAGGCTTTCATGTCTCTAAGGGCCCAGTAGGACCCAGGTCATGATACTGGGTATAAAAGAAGGGGGGCTGCCAATATATCCCCACCTTTGTGATCCTTGAGGCTGCGGGTCTCTAGGGCACCAGTAGATCCTGTTTCCGACTCAACATCATCCACAGATGGCCTCTCAGAAATGTCGGAACGTGTTGTCTCATCAGCTTCCTGGACACTTGTGGGACTGGACAGAGCCTCGAGAGGTCCCGGGAACATGGCTGGTAGGTCTGAGGGAGGTGGAGAGGGGCCGCTGCTGCTCCCTGCACAGTCCTGCACTGAGGCCTCCAGCGATGCCGCATAGCCCAGGGACAGGGCCAACTCGTCCTGAGCAATGGGCACCTGGCAAAAGGGACACATTTTAATGGACCAGAGTGACCCATTAGGGCTTTCTCCCTAGCCCAGCTCCTCTCCCCAGAGCCGTTACCTTGGAAACACCAGAGATGATGAGAGTGCTACGTTTAGTGGGTGTCTTCTTGGCTGCTCGCCCACTGGGTTCAGTCAGCTGGCGAATCGCTGTCTCTGCTACAGGGTCCAAGCCATTGGAAAGATGGCTCTCTCCTGCTGTGGATACAGAGGGTGGACAACCTGACTCCTCTCCAGCTCCTTGGACCTGAACTCCCGTGCCTTACCCAAAGTGGTTTTTTACTTTGGGGCCCTGGTACCAGCCAACATTCACACTTCCCAGCTCCCCACTCACGGCTGCTGCTGTGGGAGGTACTGCTGGGGCCGCTGCTCTCACTCAGCACAGTTGTTGTCTTCTCAGTCACCTCCACCTTGGACGGGGAGCGGGAGGGGGAGTCTGGTGGGTGGGGGAGGGTCAGTGAGCTGGGAGGTGTTTTAGAGTGGTCCCCACCCCATCTTTGTTGAGATGTAGGCCTTGGTGACTCAGAGGGCAGGGGTGACTAAGGGATGATTAGTCACAGGAGCGATTAAGAAGATGCCAAGGCGACAGAAAGATACCACAGGGAGTGTGCACTGAGGGTGTGGGAGATGCCATGAAAACAGAGATGGCACATGGGTCCACTGGAGGAAGGGGGATTTCATGGGACCCCCAGAGATAGGAGAAATGTCATGGAGGGCTCCTGGGAGTAGAAGAAATACCACAGAGGCCACTGGGTGTGTTGAAGGATCCCACAGGGTACCAGAAGGTTGAGGGTAGAGGGAGGCAAGATTAGGCAGTTGGAGCTGGGGAAAAAGAGGGGAACACACCCGTGAAAAGACAGAGGGAGCCTGAGGAGGTGGAAGTGCAAGAGTCCCAGGTGAAGGGCTGGTGGACCCAGGATTGAAGTGGGAGGGGAAGAGTTGGGGAAATGGAAGGGCGGAAGGGACCATGTGAGAGAGACAAAGATAATCAGGAAAAAGTGGTTGAAACCAGGGGCGGCTGCAATTAGGGCTTTCCTTTGCCCTTTCCCTGTCCTGTATGGATCTGCATTTTGGGGCCCTCGCTACAGCTGGGCTCTCAGGCTCCTCCTTTTTACCTAATTTGCCATCTACACGAGGCCGGGACTGGACAGTGGTGACTGTGGTGACAATGGTGCCGTCAGGCATGATGGTACGGTCCATCTCGACCTTCTTGGTAGGTGTGATGCTGGGGCGTGGAGTGGAGGAGGTGGGTGTGTCCAGGTTTCGGGGGGAGCCCTCCTCATACTGAAGCTGTCAAGGAGTGGAAGAGCAAAGACAAAGATAATCAAGGCCTCAAAGACTGCCCTCTCCTGTCTCCTCCCATCTTCCCCCAGGGGTCAGCTTCTCACCTCCACTGCCATGGTGGCTGCTGGTCCCAGGGCTTTTCCTGGCCCAGGGGTGAGTGGGCACACCTGTCTTCGGGACAGTGGTCTGGAAGGAGAGCCCACAGGCAGTGTGGCCTGGCCTAGGAGTTCAGCTGGGGAAAGGGGGAGCACTGTGAGCTGGGTCCATGATCAGGCTCCACTCAGTGCCCATCCGGAGGTGCTCCTTCCTGCCTCATACTCACTGTCTCCACAGCTGCTGCTCCTTAACACTTTGAGGGCAAGCTCCCGGCTCTGGGGGCCCAGATCCCTGTGGCCAAGAGAAGAAGGGGCAGGGAGGGGGAAAGTTAGCAAAGGGAATCCAGCCTTGAGCTGATTACAGGCCAGATGCAGAGAGTGATGTACATAAATAAGATGGTACAAGTGCTCCAATCAGATTAATTCCTGCCTTCCAAATACTTTCTCTTCCCAAGAGAACAGGACAGGGCTTGAGTGGAGACCATACTCCTCAGCTGGGCATTCAAACCCTCCCTGATCCTGCCTCACCCTGCCTTCCAGTCTCTCCATGTCAAACCACCATCTCTCCTTTGCTCAAGCTCTTCCCTCTGCCAAGAACACTTGTCCTTCACGGCCTGCTGAAAATCCTCTTACTCTAAGGTGTGGTTTAAATATCGCCTCATCCATGCAGCCTACTCTGATCCTTATCCCTGCAGGGAGCAATCTCCCCACGTAAGCGCTCCCATGCACGTTTTACAAACCTCGAATAGAGCACTTAGACCATTTTCTTTACATACATCTGTCTGCCTTGAGACTGACATCAAATCAGGGGTGGGGAGTTTATCTTGGTCATGTCTGTATCCCCAGGACCTAGGTTGGGGCCTGGCACACAAAAGGGGCACACAACAAGGCTTAGTGAAAACAGAGCTGGTTCATGCCAGGGCTATGCTGGAAGGGGATGATTCTCAGTCTGCCCATGGGAGCAGGACTGGGGGCAGGGGAGGCGCTCCTTACAGTGCCAGGTCCTCGGTCCATTCCACCTCAGGACCAGCCCTTGTGGGCTTGGTCCACTTCTGTTGCATGGGGTGGTCAAGCTCAGCCACACAGCACAGTTCCCCAGTGCCTGTGAGGAGACAGAAATTAGAAGATGCTCAGATCAAAGATGGGAAGCCACTGAGGAAAAGAGAGGCCATTTCCATAACCTGCAACCATAACCTTGGCAATCCCCCAGTCACTTCTAGCTCTCACCTTCCAGCTTGCTTCCCAGATGCGATGCTCGAAGGTGCCGTAGGAATAACCGGGTAGGTCTGGGGATGACTGGCTGGGCCTGGGACACCACGGGTGGCTTCTCACTGGGCACCTAAGAACAGAAGGAGGTAAAAAGAGAATTCTGACTTAGTACCCTGGAGACAGTATGTCTGCAAACTATTTTTTAAAATATGTTTTTATTGATTTTTAGAGAGGAAGGGAGAAGGAGAGAGAGAGAGTTAGAAACATCGATGAGAAAAAAACATCGAGCAGCTGCCCCCTGCATGCCCCCTACTGGGGATCAAACCCAAAACCCGGGCCTGTGCCCTGGCCAGGAATCAAACCTGCAACTTTCTGGTGCATGGGGTGACGCTCAACCAACTGAGCAACACCAGCCAGAGCACAAACTATTTGCTTTGAGTGTCTACTCACCAGACCTCCAGGGGCAGAGCAAGCCCTCAGGTTGACCATCATAGCTGGCTGGGTGCTGACTATGGCATCCTCAATCAGCTCCTTAACAGTGGAGAGCTCTACTTGCTCCTCACCTCTCTGCAGCGAGAAGAGAACAGAGAGGTGGGGCCCCCACTCTGCCTCTCCCTCCTTGTTCTGCCTCGTCCTGCCCCCCACCCCCAGCCCTGCTCCCTTACCTCTCTAGCCTGCAGCTTGGGAAGCACTGTCAGGCTGAAATCTGGGCGATCCCTGAAGGCCCAGGATACAAGAAGCCCCTCACCAGGGATTTCCTCCAGGCTGACTTCCAGCTGGGGACAGGGACAGAGGGGTTGAGCTGACTCACCCCAGTCCTCTAGTTATGCCCACTCCCCAGGACCCTCCCTCCCCAAATTCCATCTCAGAAGGGAATCCAACTGAAAAGGCTGAGGCAACTGAACCACCTGCTGTCCCACTCTATTTCCCACACCCCCCTCCACCTGTGTTGGTGGCAGTGTCAGAGTGATGTGGTAGGTCTCCATGGAGACAGCAGCGGGGGACTGTTGGGTCACAGAAACTGGGAACATCACCTCCTCAGCAGAGAGCTGACAATGCAGCACCTGGGACAGGCAAGGCATGGAGGCAAAGAGGGTTAGGCATGGAGGAAGGATACTCAATCCTGCTTTGCCCTGCCCTGTAATGGGTCAGCAGACCCCTCCCCACTTCAGTTGTCCTTAAGATATTACTGTTTTGGGGCCACAAGTCCATAAAAAAAAATCATGTAAAAGCTAAAGACTCTTCTCCCCAGAAAAATGCAGATATAAACACATGTACTACATTTCACATGTAACTTTAGTGGCATTCTCAGACCTCCTGAAGCCAATCCTTGGATTTCTAAATCATTCATCAACTTCAGGTTAAGAACCCTTGGACTGAAGGGAACTCTTGGAATCAGCCCCCTCTGAGACCCTAAAGAACGTATTGCCCATCAGACCCTTACCATGGTGTGCTCTGATTGGTCTATGCAGGTCACATGACCAATGCTGGCTCTGGGTGAGAGTTGGGGCACCTCCTCAAAGGCGATTTGGATGGAGCTCTGAGGGAGTAATGTGGACATAGGATCAGGTCTTTGAAGCTACCACGGCAGGGCTGGCCTGCTCAGTTGCTGGCTCGGACCTGGCACTGCCGAGGCCTCAGCTGCAGGCTGGCTTCTGACCCCTCTTTGACTCAGGGCTTTAGAATAGGAAGTGTTCTCCTCAAACCCCACCTCTCAAGGGGCCTGCAGCTGCTAGGGAGACTGGGGAGCTAGATCACCTTGAGACCAGATCACCTTGTGCAGAAGATGCTAGATTCCTCCTGAAATACCAGGAGCCTCCCTCTTCTCCCCCAACTTCCTCTTCATCTTCTACCCTTCACCCAAAGGAAAGGACACATAGAAAGAGTAATGAAGGTGTTGGCGGCCACCTACATATAAGAGCTGAGCAGAGAGACATGACTGAGCTAAGGGTAAAACCAGTAAGGCCACCGATTCAAGGCAAGAGCTGGAGAAACGAGGCCAAGCCTTCTTCCAGATAGGATGCACATGCACAAGAGTACGACTCTATCCATGTTCTTGGAGATGAAGACAGCTCAGCATGGCCTTGGAGAACTTTACCAGAGGGACTGGGAAGAAAAGCAAGCTCAGAGGGCTCAAGGGTCCAGGGGCCTGGCTAATTCCTCAAGGCAGACAGCACAGTGGTGTTAGGGAGGAAAAAAGCTGCTTAGCTTAAGTCTTGAAAGAGCTTCCTAATTCTTTCACAGCAGTAGAAGCAACCTACTGCAGCCCCAACTGGAGAGCAGGATGGGAAGAACTGAGCAGGGGGCACAGACTGAGCTGACAGCTCTTCCTTGGGTCTTGGGATTGGAGAAAACAAATCCACAGGGCTCATTTGCCGGGCAAACCAAGGGAAGCCAATTTCTCCGACCTTACAGGTGTCTTGTTTGAAGGCCAGGCCATGGGAGATGGGTGCTTGGAACCCCAATCTCCCCACCCCCTGCAAGGCAGGTCAATGTCCAGCTGAGTCAGCTACCCTAGGGAGTCACTCCTGACCAAGGGACAAGGTGCAGGGAAAGCTGGGTGGAGGCATGAGTTTAAGATGTAGACTGAAAGATGCTAACTGGGTTTCTGCTGGCTAGCTGGGCAGGAGACAGGGCAACTTCTTGTGTGGCCACTTCTGTTTCCAGGCATCTGGGGAACTAATAAAGCCCTCCCACTAGTGGTGGCTGGAAATGGAGAACCCTCTGAGCAAGGGGCCTGATGGATGTGAGAGCAAGGAGAAATTACTGGGCCAGAATGGGTAGGGGCCCATGAGAGGGAGACCTCTACCTCCCACCCCACCTCTCAGTCTCATGACCAAGCTTCCTGCCCCACCTCCTGGGAGTCAAATGCCGGTGGTGCAAAGGGAGGAAGTAGGCTAGGCTGGTCTGCGGCCGGCTCTCCAGGGCAGCTCCAGGCTCATACAGGGAAGAATGTGGGTTGTCGATCTGCTCTCCACCCAAACACCTTTCCCTCAGCACATCAGCGTGCAAAAAGATGCGAGGCTGTAGCAGCTCATTGAGGGGTGGGGGTGAGGGGGGTAATTCAGGCTCCTTCGGAATCTGCCTGATCACACCAGGGGCTTGGGACTGGAAATGTCAGCTGAGTGTGGTGGTGGCAGGAGAAGGAGGCAAATTCCTTAGGAAGGTGCACCTGTCTCGCTCCTACCCTCGTATCTCCACCCCCACCCGCCTCACGCCCCCAGCCGGCGCGCGGACGAGACGGAAGCGCCCCGCGGCGCAGGGGTTAGCGTTGCTATGAGGACAGCAACTTGGGCAGGGCTCGGAGCCGGACCGCACCAACAGCGACTTTGGGGCACAGCCGGGTTGCTACAACCTCCAGCCTCACCTGCGCCCTTTTCTGTGACCCCAGAAAGGAGGAGCGGCCGCGGGGCGCCCCAGGTGGCCCCCCCCTCCCGGTGTGAGCCAGCAGTGCCTCCCCGAAAGGAACGGCTGCGGGAGGGGCCGCCGGGCCCGGCCAACTCACCCCGTCCCTGCAGGCCTGCTCGTTGAGCGCTCGCACCCAAGCCCGCTGCCAGTTCTCCCGGAAAGACTTGAAGGCGAAAAGCGACGCCAGGAGGCCGCGGACGCCTGGCTCCCCCG